CAGGAAAGCCAACAAGAGCACAGACACACACCCCTGCATCCACTGTATAACCACCTGCCCTCCTCCCCAAGTTCCATATCCTCCTCACCCAGACACCCAAGAATGTGGGGGGGGGGGGAGGAAGAGGGGGAAAAGGCTCCAGGCACCCAGCCACTCCACTCCAGAGGATGGCCCAAGCAACAGAAGGCAGTCATTCAAACAGTTTTGATTTATAGTGTGGCTACAATAAGCAATGTGGCCTTGTCCTTCCCTCCCTCCCCCACCCGGGCTACCTTGTCAGTTATCTCACTTTTTTTTTTTAAATTAATAAAGAAAGAATGCATGGTTTCAAAACAATAGTTACTTTATTTCTTTTGTCAGCTGTGATCAAAGGGGGGAGGGTGGTTGGCTTACAGGGAATTAAAATCAACAAAGGGGGTGGGTTTGCATCAAGGAGATATACACACAACTGTCACACCGAAGCCTGGCCAGTCATGAAACTGGTTTTCAAAGCCTCTCTGATGTGCACTGCGCCTAGCTGTGATCTTCTAATCGCCCTGGTGTCTGGCTGCTCAAAATCGGACGCCAGGCGATTTGCCTCAACCTCCCACCCCGCCATAAACGTCTCCCCCTTACTCTCAAAGATATTATGGAGCACACAGCAAGCAGCAATAACAATGGGAATGTTGGTTGCGCCGAGGTCTAATCTAGTCAGCAAACAGCGCCAGCGCGCTTTTAAAAGTCCAAAGACACATTCTACCACCATTCTGCACTTGCTCAGCCTATAGTTGAATTGCTCCTTACTACTGTCCAGGGTGCCTGTGTATGGCTTCATGAGCCATGGGAGCAAGGGGTAGGCTGGGTCCCCAAGGATAACTATTGGCATTTCAACATCCCCAACGGTAATTTTCTGGTCTAGGAAGTAAGTCCCTTCTTGCAGCTGCTCGAACAGCCCGGAGTTCCTAAAGATGCGAGCTTCATGCACCTTTCCCGGCCATCCCACGTTGATGTCGGTGAAACGTCCCTTGTGATCCACCAGTGCTTGCAGCACCATTGAGAAGTACTCCTTGCGGTTTACGTACTGGTTGGCAAGGTGGTCCGGTGCCAAGATAGGGATAGGTTCTGTCTATCACCCCACCAGAGTTAGGGAACCCCATTACAGCAAAGCCATCCAGTATGACCTGCACATTTCCCAGAGTCACTACCCTTGATAACAGAACATCAGTGATTGCATTGGCTACTTGGATCGCAGCAGTCCCCACAGTAGATTTGCCCAGTCCAAATTGATTCCCAGCTGACCGGTAGCAGTCAGGCATTGCAAGCTTCCACAGGGCTATCGCCACTCGCTTCTCAACTGTCAGGGCAGCTCTCATCTTGGTATTCCTCCGCTTCAGGGTGGGGGAAAGCAACTCACAAAGTTCAAGGAAAGTGGCCTTACACATGCGAAAGTTTCGCAGTCACTGTGAATCATCCCATACCTGCAACACTATGCAGTCCCACCAGTCTGTGCTTGTTTGCCGGGCCCAGAATCGGTGTTCCACTGTATCAACCAGCCCCACTGCCACCATGATGTCCCAATTGCCACAGCCCATGCTTTCAGGATTGTCTGTGTCCATGTCCTCCTCACAATCGTCCTCGTGCTGGCGTCTCTTAGCCAGGTTCTGCACATACTGCAGGATAATGCACGAGGTGTTTACAATGCTCACAAGAGCAACGGTGAGCTGAGCGGGCTCCATGCTTGCCGAGCTATGGTGTCTGCATGGGTAACCCAGGAAAAAAGGCATGAAACGATTGTCTGCTATTGCTTTCACGGAGGGAGGGAGGGGAGACTGACGACATGTACCCAAAATTACCCGCGACAATGTTTTTGCCCCATCAGGCATTGGGAGCTTAACCCAGAATTCCAATGGGCAGCGGAGACTGCAGGAACTGTGGGATAGCTACCCACAGTGCACCAGTCCGTGAGTCGATGCTAGCCACGGTATTGAGGACACACTCCGCCATCTTAATGCGCTTAGTGGGGACGTACACAATCAACTGTATAAAATCGATTTCTAAAGATCGACTTCTATAAAATCGACCTATTTCGTAGTGTAGACATACCTTTAGGAACCAGGTGAAGCCATAAAACCTGCCGTTGTTGGGGATCCCAGATAAAAAACGACTGACCTGCTGAGCTCCATAGAGAAGTGTTGGTTTAATCCTGCAGGATGCTGAATGCCCTGCTGAGAGGTGCTGGGAACCCCCAGCTCCCACTGACATGAGGGTATCAACACTTCTCAAGAGCTCAGCACCTTGTATGTCCTAGCCCTGTATCCAGAAGCTCCTCCAGCTGGATATGCAAGGAGATCCTCGTTACGTATAGATCCCTATGGGTAAATGTGGGACGAACGAGGACACTACGATGGCCCTGCCTGATGTTAGGGACAGGGAGAATCCTGAAAAGAGCATGAGCAGCTCTGTGTAAAGGAATTTCAAGACAGCTCCACACCCAGGACTCCACATTGGCCTCAGTAGGAACAGCGAGAGGCCAATGCTGAGCACTTATGAAAATCCAACACAAAATATTTTTTCCTCCTGATGTAAATTCCCTGGCAGAGGCAAGGAGGAGAGAGAGAGAGAAAGCGAGACTTTGGGCCCGCTTAGAGCAAACATTACAGAGGAAAGAGTCAAGGCAGCTATTTTGTTCCCTACACAAAAATCCATGGTTTCTGAGAACTGGACTCTAAACCTCTTCTGGGTGAAATTAAAATGAGAACTAATTGCTGGCCTCAGGTGGCACCGAGGCCGAGGAAGATTAAGAAGAGCTGCTTTCAGGGATTTGTGTCATGCAAAGCCTCTTACACTGTGTGGTTCCTGTTTATTGCAGACCCCTCAGGAGTTTATCGTTAAACTACTTGTGACTTTCATTTATTCATATTGTTTTACTTACTGTGCGGCGTGGCCTGCTGGGGCTCTTCTGTACCCTCGCCAATGATGGTTGGAGAGAAAAAATGCCAGAGAAACCTCACTAACCCTGCTCATTAGGATGATCTTGGTTCCATGTTCTTGTATGTCTTACAAGATTATATATACCAGCAAGATTTTGCGATTAATATCTATGCTTGACTAACTGTAATAGGCAGAGTTATTAGACATACTTTTGTCTATTGGATGAGACACTTGACTCTCTTACCCTCGGTCTCTGAAGTGTAACCACTGGGCTATGCTGCGTTTGCTTTACAGTATTGTTCTTATTGCCAAAAATAATACAAAAAAAGTTCAAAAGACCCCTGTGTTGTGAATACCTTTTCTCTGGCATGCAGCTCCCTCCTGTGCCTGCTAGCACCACTCAGCTGGCCAGAGGAAGCTCCAAACAGCAATGGGAGGTACTCTTTCCCCCCCACACCCCTCCGGCCCTGCATGCTGCTTCTATAATGCTTCTATCCTCTGTTGGGCTTGGGGAGCAAAAGACCAAGCGATCCTAGTTAATCTCACTTTGCCAACAGTTCCGCATGCTCTGCAGAAATGCTATTAGCCTGATGTCTGAAACCCAGGAATATTTAGGCTGATGGTAGACAACAGATCAGGAAAGAGTGGAAACCACTAATGGTTGACCAATGATGGATAGTGGGACAATCATGGAAGTGCTATGAGGGTTGTGAGGGGTGGTTAGGAAGCAAGAACAATTATTGATCTAGTGATCCCATGAACCGCATGCAGAAAAGGATGCTGGAAAGTAGCCAATAGGTTTCTTGTTAAAATATTTTTATTACAATCAAACTCAGTAAGCCCTCTTGTTCAATTTCTTGTTTAACACACACAGACATTGTTTATTTCATGCCAAAAAATCCTCAAAAGATCTAGCTTTGTAAAGAGATTTAATGGGAGGCAACGGAAACAAGACTTTTCTCCTATTTATAAAGGAAATCCTGTAAATTGAATAATATTTAATAGACTATTTCAATAGGATGTTTCTATATAAAAGGGCCGAGGGTTGGAAAATAAAAGACACCCGTCATTTCAACCTGAGCTGTTATGATGCTGCCAGCAAAACCAAATTTCAGTGAAATGGGGGGGGGGGGGGGGGGGGGGGGGAGGGTGATGTTTTGTAATCAGAACTCTTAAATACACAAATCCTTAAATGAATTCTCAGCTATGTGATTTCCCCTGGACTTTAATTGGGTCATGCTGCTAAAATCCTTTTCCATGTTGGTTTGAAAATTCATCCATCAAACTCAGCTGTGCAATGAAAATATAACAGCAAAAACTGTAGCGAAGAGAGATTTTGGTTGTGTCAGTTTTTGGGGACTTGGGACACTTTAAAAAAAGGAGCCAGAAAATGCTGAGCACCTACTCTTTAAGCTGTCTCAAGTTCGACGCCCCACGTCCCCCCCAAAAAACCCAACACACCCAAAAACTTTTGGTCACTTTTGAAAATGTTGGCCACTATCTTCAGTGACCAGTTTCAATCAGATACAGCAACATCTAAAACTTCGGTTGGCAGAGTCTCAGTAGCACGGTTTGAAGCAACCAATATGCTAGAAAGAGCTTCTGGATTTAGGGTCCCTTTGACATAGTGGGGTGGAGGGTACAAATGGATAAAAAGAGTCAATCCTTTTTATTTTCAGTCTGTACTCTTACTTGTAGCAGCTGTGAATGTAGAGGAAGAAAGGCTTATGGGACAGAAACTTGACTGTCTCCCAGATCAGTGGTGATAAAGAGACACAGAACACAGTGAAAGGAGCAGTGATTCACTCCTTCACCTATTTCACTAGTGGGAACCAAAAGTTAACATCCGCTGCATGATATTCACTACACCACTGCCTACTGGGGAAGGGACACAGATGGTATTCTGTCTCCCTCTCCAAAACCCCTCCATCAAGAGATCACACATCCATCCATCATTGCCCACCTTCTGATGGCTCAGGCTTCAAGAGCGCAGGTCTAATTTATCATGATGTACCGGAATCCCAGCAGACTGGCCACAGGTTTATCCACACACACATCCCCTTGTGATCGCTGCTATGAAGGCACCATACCTCATACTTTCCTTCATTCTCAGTCTTTATCTTCTCGATATCCAGCAGGAGTGACCAGACCTGGCCTCGCACCTGCAGGGGGATCCCTTTGTAAACCCTGCGGAACATCTGCAGATTAAACGGAAAACAGGACAATGTTAATGCGACAAGCCTCCAAGACAGATGTATTTCAAGCACAGAAGGCCCCTAAGTAGAGCATCTCGAGGAGACCATAGACATGGCAGTGAATGATTTAGTAATTAAATGACCCCCCTCTTACATTCTCAGACATTGTTAATTCCCTCTATGAGGCCAATTCAATCCAAGACAGGGCAGGAACACTCACATGCTGTAAGAGTGTGAGGATCTTTACTGGAACTCTCCTCTGCAGACAGAGATACTGTCCTTCCAGAGGCAGCATGGTATATATGGAAGGGGCCAGACCCCAACATCCATACATGCATCTTCCCCATTCTGCATGGAAGAGAGCTTGGGCACTTAGCAGCAGTACCCCATCCCTCCCTGTCAACCCCGCAGGGAGCTGTCTGCACAGGGCAGACTGGGCACAATGAACACTGGGCTCCCGCTGGGGAGCTTCTTGGAGTGCATCTGCATTGGAGCTATGCTGTCAGGGAGGAGGTGGTGCTGCAGGAGAAGGAGGAAGGTTGAGGGGCTCAGCACAAATGGCCCACAGCATGAGAGATACTCCCCAGGGATTCCCAGGGTTGTGAAGCACCTCACCACACCTGCCCCTAGCGTGAAGCAGTCTGCTCTGTGCCTGCCATGGCTGAAACCACATTATCATTGCCTCCCAGGTCTGCACAGATGTTGCCCTCTCTTGTGCTGGCTAGCGATAGGCACACGCCAAGCCCCGAGTCCTTGGAGCACTCCCTGCAGTATCCAGCTCCTGTCGCTGGACTCTCAGGGTAGATCTACACTGGAATAAAAGAGCTGTTCGCTCGGGTCAGCTGACTCAGTCTGCGGGGCTACTGCTGTGTAGACGTTTGGGCTCAGGCTGGAACCCAGGCTCTGGGAACCTCCTCCCCTCGCAGGATCCCAGAGCTCAGGCTCCAGCCCGAGCCCAAAGGTCCACAAAGAAATTTTACCGCCTTGCAGCCCACGCACCACGAGCCCAAGTCAGCTGACCCGGGCCAACCACGGGTGTTTAATTGTTGTGTAGATGTACCCTCATAGTAATCACCAAATTCACTGTTCCCAAGGGAACAGCATACACACAGCTTGACTGGCACAACTCAGGATCAGGTCCTTCATAACATCACAACACGGAGATACACTTATAACTGTTTCACTATAAATGTATGATCAAAATTAAGATTCAAGAGATACTGAGTAAGGATAATGGAAACAGAAATGGTTACATATAAAATAAAAAGTATAGCACACTTCTTAGAGTCTAAACTTAATTTTAACAGGCTAAAATCCTTGTCTTAAGCAGTTTCCCAACTAAAGCAATCTTCCAGCATCACCAACCTACATGAGATCCACCATTCACGGATGCAAAAAGGGCTGTCATTTGTGTCCCTGGATGACAGCGCACCTCTAGATAAAAGCTCTTTTCCCACCACTGTTCTTCTCTTCCTGTTGACTCCCCCTCCCCCCCGTTGACTCATGTAAATAAGGTAAAACAGATTTATTTGGGGTTTGGACCCCATTGGGAGCTGGGCATCTGAGTGTTGGAGACAGGAACACTTCTTAAGCTGTTTTCAGTTAAGCCTGCAGCTTTTGGGTGGACGTGGTTCAGACTTGGGTCTGGGTTTGTAGTAGGCTAGCGGGTCTGGCTCAAACCAGGCAGGGCACTGAACCCCCAAGCTGGCAGGGAAAGCGGGCTCGGGGTAGTCTCAGCACATCAGTTGGCAGTTCCCAAGGGGTTTTCTGGGATCCAACCCATCACAGCAAGATCATATCTTTCGTATGTAAATACTGAACAAGAACTAAAACAACAGTAGGAGCTGCACAGGTGTAGTCAGATCTCCATCCCATTTGAAATGTAGTAGGTGGCCCTGATTTTAAGCAAGATGTCATTACTTTATCCAGCTCCAGGTTTAATCATGGGCTGTTATTTTCAAGCTGGCTAATTTTCTTCCACTCTGGGAAATGTTAGGGTGAAAAGGGACATCTTATGGCCTGTTGGGTGGCTAGAGGAGCATGCTGATCTCTTTTGGAGAGAGTGTTCCAGAGTCTCAGTCCAACTGAAGGCTCTGTTACCTGGTCTCTGGAGCAGCTGGCTGCAGAACATGGAGACTCAAACCTATTTCATGTTTGGATCTAGTTGCACTGGAATGTAACTGACTTAAAACAACATGAAAGAGAACGGGGGGGAGGGGGGGCGGAAACCAGTGTGTGAGACAGGAAGAGGAAGAGAAATCAAGCCATAGAGATGTTGATGAAGAACCAATGAAAGCCTTGCTCCAGACAGGAGTCTGGATGACTTTAGCACAAAGGAGGAGATGAGAGCCAGGAACCTCATATTGAATCAGTTAAAATTCCCTCCTGATCAATTTATTTCTAAACGATTAGAGAGATCAAGGCTAGCAATGACATTTTCCTGAGGTATAATAAGCAGCTCAGCTCTGCAGGGAGGAAACATTTGGCTTTGAATTTGAATGTTCAGCAAATGTTATTGCTGAACTTTAATGAATTCACCAGTATTCAGTAAACAGCTTTCAACACCCCATTGGGAGTGTAGCAGGTAGCAAGGGCATAACAAACCAAGCTAAGATTGTATTTAACAAACTGCCTCTGGGTTATTTACTTGATGGCTCCTTTCCTCCCACCACCCCCAAAAATGAAAGTGGTAAAACCTCAAAACCCTGGGAAAAAGAGCAATTTCCCTTCATGATAAACCCCAAAAGAAAATGAAGACATTGTAGGACACAATGACAATCTAAACCAGGGGATGGGATGACTGGGCATAATGGGTGCAGTCGGTTATTCTTAACCTCTTCTAGCTGCTTCCTGTTTCAGAGGGGAAAGGATTTTTTTGTTTAAACATCTGCTATTTTGCTGTATATCTTTGCAAAGGTTAGAAGTCCAAGCCTTTGGGCAACAATAGGGAAGCAAAGAAGCAGCTGCCTCCCATACCTAATGTTAAAGGTAGAGTGACCAGATATCCCGATTTTATAGCGACAGTCCTGATAGTCAGGGATTTTTTTCATATAGGCACTTATTACCCCCCACCCCGTCCCGATTTTTCACACTTGCTACCTGGTCACCCTAGTTAAAGGAGACTTAAAGAGTAAAGAATAAAAGGGCTCATACCTTCTTTTTAGTATCTCTAGGACACTAACACCTAAACAGTCCCAAGTAAAATCAGGCCCCACTGCCGTAGGTACTATCCAGACAGACAATCCCTCCCCTGAAGAGCTTACAAGATACAAGACAAAGGGTAGGAGAAAGAAATGTCATCCCCAGCTGGGAATTGAAGTATGGCGAGATTAAGGGTTTGTCTACATGGAGCAGCAATGCATCCTAGAGGGAGTGACACTTCTAAAACACAGTAACATGTTATGCTTTAATTGGTCCGAGAAGATCCAGGTGGTGTGCACAGAAGGTTCCCTAGTGCACAATATTACATTAATGCAC